TCATTAAAGAGTGGTCCAGGTACATTTAGGATTATACAGTTGTTATTCTAAAAAATTATAAATGGATTTTTTTAGTATCCTATATTCCAAAGAAGGGAATTCAACTTATTCAACTCATGAAATATATTAATCACAGATACCAAATTGTTATATAACTATCAAATTTTATCTCTCAAATTACTTAAAGCAATGAAAAGCATCAATAAATGTGTTAAAATTTGGGAGGAAATGGGAATTACCAGGAAACGAAGTGATAACAGTATTATTTGTCTGTCTATGGTTGCCTCTTAACTGTTTTGAAATCAAAGATCTAATTCTGCTACACATAATATTCTCAAATCAAGAAGCTGTGGCACATATGGAAGCTGAAAAATTAAAGATACTACTTTGATAAAAAATAAATTTTAAGACCAAAACTGTGATGAAAATGAAAATTGAAGGAAGGATAGTTTTGGCTCATTTTTCTCACTCTGAAAGTCTTATTACTATTCATTTTTATAATTAGAAATGTTAGTAAAATGTTTTTCCACTTAATCTTCTGGGTAATGTTAAATGTTGGACTAAATTTTAAGTCATCCCCCGCTAACTAGTTACCATTTATCCTCTTCAGGGCCAAAAAGAAGTATATTCTAAGGAAAAAATGTTCCCTATTAGATTGGCAATAATTTTTATTTTCACTCATGGCCCCTTTTGTGGTAATTTATATTTTTGTTATTAATGAACATTTATATTAATATGCAGCTTTTATTAAGAAAAATTTGGTAAGTGTGTATGAGAAATTTGATTCATTTTAAAGTTCCTGGGGTAAGATTTAAAAAGCAATACATCAATATATAAGCTGAAAATTATTTAAACAGAACTGGTTATTTTTAAAAGAGATTGTAATTACAGATATCTTACAAAGCATTATGATATTTTATACAACTTAGAAGTTAGAAATCGAGTTCTGTTCAATCACCTGAATTTCTGAAACTAAAGAGTGTAAAAACAAAATGCAGGTCAACTTATCAAAACAGCATTTCCATTCAATTTACTGACATATCTTACCTTTTTTTTGAGAATAAAATTATGCAAAATATTTCAAAGCAATTAGCTGACTATATGAAAAAATATTCGAGATTTACACACAGCCTATAGACCTAATATCACTAAGACAATCAAATTACTGACCTCAATAAAGGCACATAAATAGATATCCCTGGTAAGAGGTCTGGTAGTGAGCTCAGCTGTACCATATCCTGAATATTTTTATTTTTTAGGGAAGCTGAAAGATGTAAGAGCAAGTTTCCATACAGAAAATCCTACTCTATGTGTGCAGTTGCTATACTTTACAGTGAAACCTAAACTTTCTCTAACAGCTTTGTGAAGTTCTTACATGTTGGTTTCTCAACAAGTACAGAAAAATTAAAAAATTTACAGCTAAAATTGCAGAAATCACTAGGGAGACAAGGGGTGGGGTTTTCAGACACAATTCCAACTCATTAGTCCTTAGTGTGATCAAACAATGAGTACTAACTATTTGGCAGGGCTGATCAAAACAGGGTCAATAATTTTGCCTTCTTAAACTCAAATGGATGAACCCAAAGGGAAAAATTATACCAAGAACTTAATCTTGTTACCTCTAGTCAGACCCACTTTTCAAGTTAAAAGTTTAACCTTTTCTATTTAACAGAAGTCAAAAGACTATGTCCACAAAATATATGCTCATATATCAGCTAGAAATGCAAAATATCTGTGGTACATAAAAAATTTTAAAACATGGCATTACCATTTAAATTAAAATTTTATCCTTTATGCATCTGAAATCATTGATTTTAATATTAATGTTAGTATTAATTATTTTAACATTTTCCCTATATTGCTAAATACACTTCAGGTTCCTCAAATAATATGTGAGGTTGTATTTCAAAAATAAATGAATGACAATAATATGCTTCTTCTGGAAAATGCAACTTGGGCATAACATTTCCAAATGACAAGGCTGGCCTAAGGCTGGGGCTAGGGCAGGGAAGGGGGAAATGTGTCAGAAAAAAACAATCCGCAATTTCCCCATGCAATTAATGCTCACACTTCATTATCTAGTGTTGCATAGATAGATGCCAAAGCCTTAGTAAAATATCAATCTTAAGCAATCACATTTTTCCAAACAAACCAACAATGTTGCACAGCTAAAATATGTTATTCCTTTTTCCCACTCCATATCTGAACTTGCAGAAGGGTAGAAATTATTTGCCAGATAAAAATTGTTTTTAATTAAGAGAAATTTGATTTCCCCCTTTTCTGACTTAGTTTGTCTTCTTCCAAGCTTTTCAAAACTATATTACAGGACCAGGAATATAGCTCAGCAGCAGTGCCTGCCTGGCAAGTCATGAGTTTGATTCCCGGCAGAAAAAAAATGACATTACATTTGAGGCAAACATAAATTACTGTGCAACAAACTGAGGAAGGTGAATGCTTAAGACAGTGTAAACTTCACTCTGCCAGAAAGCAATTCTCTTTTCAGTCCCATTTCTAACCACCTTAGCACTAAGAACAATTCCAAATACGTAGAGTGCAAACATTCTCTTACTGCCATAACCAGATGGCAGAGAAAGTGAAACACATGAAGATGCTTAAAAATAATAGTGGCAAATGACGAGATTAAAGCAATCATAAAAATTCAAAAAATCTACAGGAATGGTATTAAGAAAATGATACAACTTCACTGAAATAATTTATTTTAATCTTCAGCCTCTGATGAAGTATTATCAAAACTCTAGAAAAACAAAAGTCAACTTTAATATATTCTACATATTATGTCTATATAAATGCTTTAAATCAGCACTGGATGAATAAATCTATGCTCCATCATTACTGATTATCTGCTGCCTAGATCTAATAATTTAATTCCGATCTTCCACCACTTAAATAGATCATTGCTAAAAAGAACAGTTCCAAGTTTAGTAACAGTCTTAGTTTTAGCCACATGGATTATAAAAGGCTCCCTGTCACTTAATATAAAACCAATCTCAAGTACAGATCTTGAAAAATAAATCAATATACTAATTTCATCCTCTTCTATATGGAAAACTACACGGAAAAAAATTCACTGAGGGTCACTGCCCATACCTTTGATTTACATGGTTCTAGTAACTATTATTTCCCATGAAATCCTTTAGATAAAGAATTTTTAAATTAATTGTGAAACCAAACATTTATAGGTGTCACTTGAATACTATGGGCCACTAAAGATCTGTCAAGAATTTTCAAATTATGCTTTGCATATTCTATACTTTATACTTTATACTTTTATTGTCCATTCAAATTCTTATTGAAACTACATGAGGTAGGTGATATTATTTTATGCACTTTATAGATAAGAAAATTCAGGTTTAGAGAAACCTTGGGTAAGTAGCCCAAGATGACAATGATATGAAGTGGTAGAACAGGCCCCAATGTGACTCCAGACCCATGTCATGAATCACTATATGTGACATTGTATCAAGTGCACAAGAACACACAGGGTATCTATCTTATTTGCAATTTCTGAAAATATTAGTGAAGGCTGAATATTTTTGGAGTGAAATTTAGTTTGCTATTGCAAAATATTAACATTGGGACTTAGTTGAGAGAGCAGTTTCAGCTAATGATTATTTTGGAACTTCACTTATTCAAAAGCATACTTTTAATTACTTTCAAAATATACCTCACTTTAAGATAAATTTTTTCTATACTTAAAAATTAATATATGTTAGATTAATCTGTAGCTGGAAAAGCTTTTTCTTTAAGCTTAGAAGTTCTGCAAATGCATCATGCCAAAGACAAATATGGAAGCAAAACCTATTCTCACACATTCTCTACAACCAATGATCCAACAGATGTTTGGGCTGAGTTGTGAACCTGTTTCACCAGAATAGGAGTTACTTGTTCTGAGTAGCTTTTATAAAACTTCACTTGTGACTCTGAAAAATGTTAAAGTGTTTGTACTAAGGTAATATGAGCCAGGCATGATGGTGCACACCTATAACCCTAGTAGTCAGATGGCTAAGGCAGGAGGATCGCTGCAAGTTCAAGGCCAGCCTGGGCAAAAAAGTGAGTTCAAGTCCAGCTTGAACTTCATAGTGAAACTCTGTCTCAAAAAGAAAAATAAATAAACACTGATAAAAATAAAGTAATATGGAAAAGGAAGTTAGTCGGTAACAGTTCTCTTATATCTAATTGAATCTAAAATCTTGTTTTATAAAGAGAAAGCTACATATGAAGTGTTCAGAAATGTAATGGTTAATCATGTTTATGTTTCAAATTAACAGTGATAACCCAAGTGGGTTCAGTTAATCTCAAATTCAAATATAATCTAAAATAAAATGTATTTAAAGGCATATTAGGAGTCTGAATATTTGGGATGACCAACTAAACAGAACAAAGTGAGTATGAAATGGTTTCATGATCATTTCTTTTCTCAATGTGAATAACCAAATACATGTGTTAAATCAACAGACTTAGTGGTGGAACTCTAGAGACTGGAAAGAGACACTGTGGATACTCCTCACAGCAACATGGTAAGTAGTTGATATGGTTAATAAGCTGCATCCGGAGAACAGCACTCTGCTATAAGGCCTTTGACTCTGGCCTTTCCACAGGCAACAGAAACTTAACATGCAAAGAACAAATCCCTGCAAGAAAGCAAGCAAGGAGAATCTCTTGTACAAAGTAACTTCTCATTGATCTTTGGAGGCTTAAAGGATTGATACTAGTGTCACTAAAGTAAGTGATATTTGTAGAAACTAATATAGACAAACAATTCTCTCATTACCTATCCTAGAAAAAACTTATTTTAAAATAAATACAAGAAGTTTACGAACAAGATATCCTTAAGAATACAGAAAAATCTGATTTTAAAAGAATAATATTTTATCATTTAATGAAACTTCATTGCTTAATGAAAGTTTCTAGGTACTTTCTGTTACTTTTTTATTGTATGAGTTAAAAAAAGTGCAGGTATAGGAAAATATGAATGCTACAAAAACACAGAACGCTTTATGTATTTGTGTGTCCTCCTTGCACAGGGCCATGCTACTCTCTGTATCATTCCAATTTTAGTATATGTGCTGCTGAAGCAAGCACCATAAAACCTGACTTTGTCAAGTGACTTAATCAACTGAAATTATTACCTTAAATAGTGAAAGCTTACAGAAGCTGGTTCTCTTACTCATCTATGGTGGTTGAGTAACCAGTGCTGCAGATTCCAGATATCTTAGCACTTAATTCCAGTCTCTTTTCTCTACTTTTCTGTTTTAAAGACTTCTATCTGAGGCAAGTCATGTTAAATCTTCCAGTCTTGAATCATACAATTATTAAAGAAGAGTAAGTGGTTTTTAATTTTTTTTTAGCTTTTCTTTCTTTCTTTCTTTCTTTCTTTCTTTCTTTCTCTCTCTCTCTCTCTCTTTCTCTCTTTCTTTCTTTCTGTACTGAGGACACTCTGTTACTGGACTACAACCTCCGCACTTTTTATTGTGACACAGGACCTCACTGAACTGCCCAGGCTGGTCTTGAGCTTTCAATCTTCCTGCCTCAGCGGCCTAGCTAGCTGGGATTACAGGAACGCATCACACTGAGTAAGAGTCTTTAGCTGCCTGCTACAAACTGTCCTACCACAATGAGAGAGGCAGAAGTGGCTTTCCCTGGTCACACATGTTAGCATCCGATTCACTCTTTTAGCAATCAGTGTAGTGTTTGTGCCACAGCTATTCTAAAATAGAATCCCCAGGATTAGAAACTCTGATAATGAGATCACCAAGAAATTGTTCTGACAATTATTAAAGTATTTATTAGTTTCAGAATGCAATAAAGACGACCGTATTTAGAAAATAATCTATTGCACCAATAATAGGATGACTGATTTGGGGATTTAGTGTAGAAACTACTAAAAATATATCTCATTGTAAAAACAAAGGAGTACAGAAAAAATGTGCTGTAAAAATAAAGAGCACCCTGTGGTCTTCATTAATTATATCATTAATTATTTCAATCCAAAGGAAGTTCTAATTTAATTTAATCTATATTTTTATTAACATTGCCAACTATCAAAAATGCAAGGATAATTTTTTAATGAATTTTAATAATCTATAAACTACAGTTAAAGAGCCCAAGTCTCTCAAGAACAAGCATTTGACTAAAAAGCACTTGAGTGTCCTTGAAAATCTCCTTTGCTAGCTTGTCACTATACATGCCTTCCAAGCGTTTCTGCATGTCTGCTTGCTTTTCCAAGTTAAAGTCATTGATTAGCTCAAAAGAGAAAATAATGAAGTCTTTATAAATGGTTCATCTGTTTTCTCTTAAGCCATTTTACTGAGTGAAGTGCAACTAAGCAACTACTGATCTGCATTTATTAGGTAATAAATTTCACAGCCAGGTATGGTTGCATGAACCTATATTCTAGCACTCTGGGCAGCTGGGGAAGAAAGGTTTGAGTCCAGCATGGGCAATTTATTAACTTAGTAAGGTCCAATCTCAAAATAATAAATAAATAAATAGGGTTGAGGATGTAGCTCAGAGCAAAAGTCCTTGGTTTAATCCACAGTAATGCTTCCAAAAGAACAAACTTCAAAAGAAAAAACTAATTTTTAATGTGAAGTTACTATTGTCTCCCATTTCCACTAGTATAGTTTAACTAAGAACTTAACATCTCAAATGAAACTACTTAAATGACCTAATTAGTTAATTCCTGTATGATATACTAATTAAAAGTAAATTTCTTGACCTTTTGTGTAACATCATGTGATAAAACTTCCTTTTCGGTTATGCTGGGTACTTGTGCAACATTTGAATTGTCACATTAAAGATAAAGTATGCTAATCTAAAGTGACAGGACCTGAATAATTCTGAAGGGAGCAGGGAAAGGACAGGAGCATGCACTGAACTTTTGTCTCTGAAGCACTACTATGGAATCTGGAGCATTAATTAATTTAAAGCACATGCTGCTGAGTCAATACCTGCCAGAAATCCTGATCAGGAGATAAGAAAAAGAAAAAGATTGACATTGTTTGATTATATGAATAAAATCCACAAATCAAATATACATTTCACAAATTATCTTATATAAAGGAACAATTAAAACTGTAAAAATAACACTGAACATCTGGAAATAAGAAATATGGAACATACAGAAATGTGATATTATCTGTTAGGCATAGTAAAAAGATCAGTGCAGTGATGCAGTTCTCAACTCAACAAAATGAAACACACAGTTGTACCGTATCACAAAAAGAAAACACATGAATAAGTATCTGTTTCTTAAAGACAAAGAAAGCACGCGTTTCTTTTTTCCTATTGATGATCAAAGCATTTTAAAATTAAGGTTCATTATCAGGATGTTTCACATTTCATGCATATATTTTTTAACTTCCTAGCAAACTGCTGCTTTGCCAGTATCTGGTTACACTCCTAGTGGAGAGCTGGAACATGTGCATAACACACAATTCTTTCCTCATCCCCTTTCTCTCTCCTCCCTCCTTTCATCTTGTGGTTCTCTTCTTTTCTGCAAAAAAACCTGTCTCCCTATTTCCTCCTGTCTTTTACTTTGCTTGCTGCTTATATTTTAGGTTTCTCCTATAAAAGAAAACATGCAGTATTTAAGCTTGTGTCTGATTTATTTCACTTAATATTATGGTTTCAAAGTACATCCATTTTCCTACAAAAGACTCAAGTTTAAGGATCAAATAGTTTAAAATTTTTTTCTTCATTAAACAAATTTTAAATAAAGCTTGAAATAAAACTTGATGTGAACTTACTGTCATTTTGAAATCAGGCTTACTAGTACTACTATAAGATTCCTTAACTGAAAGAAATCTTATTAGTAATTTATAAATGCACAGCTGGAATTGACATGACAGAGGCTCAGAGGGTTTTATGGCACAGATGAATGAACATAGGACAGGTCAGATAAAACAAATCAAACCAGAGGTCTCTCATTGATTAATTTTCTAGATTTTTAAGCCAGGCAAATTTCTCATTACAGAGACAGCACTACGAGATTTTTATAGCTGACTGTACTGGGAAGAAAACCACCATGAAGAGCACAGGTTATGTTGTTCTGTAACATTTCACATAAAGTAAGGAATATTATATATATGATAGCGAGTAACTCATTTTATAAATTGAGTAGAGGACTCAAAGTCATGCAAAATACCTGTAATGTATAGAATCAGACACTTCATACTGTCCAATTTTCCTGAGAAGGTAATTGGCACTCAAAGTTAACTGATATCCTGCCCAAGGTTACTCACTACACAGCACACTCCATATTTGGATGAATACATGATTAACTCTATCTCCACACACTCTTCATCCTTCTCTAGTACACATAAATACAGCAGTCACAATATTGTATTATTTAAGTTTTGTTTATTTTTTTATTTTAAAGAGACTAAAACCAAACCAAACCAAACCAAACCAAACCAAACCAAACCAAACCAAACAATAAAGTTAATCAGAACAGAATAACAGCAATACAGAACTTCAAAACAAGATAATAGGAAATCAGCAATGGCTACCATAATGTCTCTTGTAAGAGTATATTTTTTCCAACAAGCCATCCTACCTGGTAAGCAGTGCAAGCCACAGGCGCGCCAGAGAGAGAACAAGTCTGTCTCCTGTGAGCCTACGGCGCGTGGGCTGAGAATTAAACATCCCGTTCCCCATCCCACCCCAGCCTGAGTGGATAGCAACTAAGGTACATAAAACGACTCAATACTTGTATTGTTGGGTTGATTACACTGACCTGGGGCCAGCGGTCTTAGCATCTGTTGAGAGGATAACCCTATGCAATATAGCAAACATGGGGTATTTCCTTCTATCTTCTCTTTGAAGTCCAAAATTGTTTTTACTGTTTTGCTTTGTTATGATTAATTGTTTTGCTTTATTCAATATTCTATTTTGAGTGTTTTTATAGTGTTCTGTTTTTGGTTTGATTTTGCTGTACCTGATTGAATGGACAATTATTTTGAAGGTAACAAGATACACTATGGTTATCCCAGTATCCTGCTCTGATGTTCTGTACCAGTTTCACTGCACTGTCTTGATTGGCTTTGTTTTATTGCATTTCACTGTTTTTAAAATAAAAATTTTTTAAAAGTGTATTTTTTCAGCATGCTTTATAACATCTACTAATCATTTACACATGGCTGTCAATTACTGAGCATGCTAAAACAAATGGCTTGAGAAATATTCAGATAGCAAAGCATGGTATTTTTCAGGACTATTTTGTAGGGGGAAAAGTTGCTAATTTCTAAGAAGAAAGAAAACAAAAAATGTTTTGAATATAATTTAAATAACTTTGGGTGTAAAAGAAGATGGTAAATTCTTTGACTGAACACAGGGCCCTCCTCCTGATTAAGTATGTGCTTTACCACTGAGCAATACCCTTATTCCAAAAGATTCCCCTCACTGTTGAATCAGCACCTGAGTTTACCAAGTTCACACTGTTATATTCTAAATATTTGCTCATCTAAAGACTATAATGAGCATCTCTGTTCAAATGATGCTTCGTTTAACACATAGCTAATCAGTATTTTAAAAAGTAAATATGCTTAGGTCTTAATAGAAACACTATTTTCCTTATTAGCCTGACTACAATAAGCAAAGATCTGATTTCTCAAATACAGATGACACTGCTCACTTTAAGAGAAATGCCTTAATAAAAAAGGTACTTTTCAAAATACTATTTGATAACTCACAGTATATGAGAAAATAATGGAACAATAGTGAAACTGACATTCTGATTTCTAAATTCAGGTATTAAAATTTATATAACTCATTTTCCTTCTTTAAAATGAAAATGGTATATGGCTTTGTGTTTATCAGGGATTTCTAACTATACTTTATCCAAGTGGAAAAAGACGAACTTTGAAAACTTTTATCAAAAAAACCATGAAAGGGTGATTTTGAGTAGAGAAGCATTAAGGAGGAAAAATAATATAACTTTGATAAGAGAAATTCTATTTATAAATAGGCCATATAGACAGTTTAGATAAATAAAAGGATAATATTTAATAGTGTGGACTTTGCAACCAGACTACTAATTTAGAACCCTGGCTCTATCACATGCTGGTTTTCTGATTGTAGGT